GGCGGGCGCGCGCCTGAGGGGAGGAGGGGCGGTGTCCCCACCCCCTCCTCTGCGGGCGGCGGCCGGACCCCTCCTCTCTCCTCTCTCTCAGCTCCCCGCGCGCCTAGGCTGCGGGTCGGGCTTGGGCCTTTGGGGGCGGGACGGGGGCACGGCGGCCGGGAGTGTTTTCAGTTCCGCCTCCAATCGCCCATTCCCCTCTTCCCCTCTTCCCCTCTCAGCCTCCTCCAATCCCATCGGAAGAGGAAGGAACAAAAGGTCCCGGGCCCCCCTGATCTGACGGGGCGGGACCTGACGCCTGGGTGCAGGTAAAGCCTAGGCGCCGAGGGCCTCGGGCAGGGGTGTGTTTGTGTGCGGCTGTGGCCGGCGTGTCACATGGCCACGGCGGGTGGGGGCTGGGGTGTGGCGAGGCTGGGGCTGTGGGCGCGCGGGCCGGGGCCGGGGTCGGCGTCGGAGGAAAGGAGCTGCGCGCTCCGAGTCCCCGCCCAGCCCTGGTGGCTGGCCTCCTGCGTCCCTTTCCTTTCGCGGCTTGCACATCGGTTAGTTTGTGGTTCTGATTTTTAAGCCAAAGGACCAGAGCTGTTGCAGGAGTTGCTGGGAAGCCGAGTTAGGAGCGTGTTATACTTTGCTTCCACTTTTTTTTGTGTGTGTGGGGGTCTTGTGATCTTTGTTAACAGTAGTAGTTTCGAGCTCTGAATTGCTGTGTACTCAGAAATACGTTCGCGACTGATAATTCTCTACCCAGATCATCTTCAGTACATTTAGAAAGTTGCTCGGTGTTTGCAGCCTATTGGTTTTTATCTATCACACGACTTTAGAAAGGACGCTGATTGATTTCACATTTTCAGACTAGCTTTCAAAATTTCTAGTTGAATTACTGTTTTCTGGTGGTGAATACTGTCCTTGACTTCTCGTACTTTTTGTCTTTCACTTGCCCTTAAGTGCTTATGCGTTTTCCTTGTTACCCTAAACAAAAGAAAAACAACACATACGTTGATTTTATTATTCCTTCCTCTTGACCTAAAAGCTAAAACCCATTTGCCAGTTAGACCTTTATATTTTAAAAACTCCAGGTAAAACGAATTTGGAAGTAGTATTTTAGAGCATTCTCTTGTTACAGTTTGGAGTGACCTAGCGTTGTGATTTTTTTAAACTTTTAAAACGATATATGTAAAACAATTGTTAGTAAAATAATCAGGCAAACTTACTTGGAGTATCTTTTCAAAAATGATTACCAGCAATATGAGTTAATTTCCAGAATTTTTATTTTCTCTTACGATTTTATATGAATTAAACCTGTACCACTGATAGGAAGGCTACTTTCCACAAGGCTAACAAATAAACTTGCTGTTATGCGGAAAATCTATCTGCTATTTTACTTTTGATCCTTTTTTAACTTTCCCTCCTGCAGAGGTGTTAAGTCATATAGTTAAATGAAACTTGAACAGTTTTGTGCCTGAGTTAATAAAACAGATGTAATGCAGAGATGAGAGAAATTTAAAATGATTTTCATAAATGTGCCATTGTTTGAGGATCTTTTCATTTGTCTTAAAAATAGTCATACAAGATATCCATCAGAAAGGTAAGGTAGCAGATGTTTTTATTAAATTCAGAAAGTAACACATTTTTAAAGTTACTTAGTTTTTGCTATAAATTTAGCTGTGGTATAGTAAATACAAGTAGTTCTCGTCTGTGGGCATTTCTAAGGTGAGGGCCCACTTAAAGCCTCTTGATGTTAACATCTTGAGCTTAAGGAAGCTTATTGGCCTGGTTTAATTAATTGTGATTGGAGATATAAATTGCTCATAGAACTTGGGTTTTATACTGTGCAGCTACACTTAAAATGATTTCTTCACATTGTAGGTATTCAACAATTTGTATTTTCAGTGTTGTAACATACCTCAACCTAAATCTCTATACAGTCTGTAAGGTTCATGAATTAATAGTCACATAAGAAACTCCGCAGGGTAAATTCCTGTTGTTGTGGCTTGTCAGGCAAGGTTATGTATTTTAACTCTTATGTAGGAATATTGGGGATGGTTTTATGTATTTCAGTTCTCCTTAGTAGCAACAAAGATTGTTTCTTTAAAAGAGTAAGTCTCCTCTCATTTTCATATTGTGAATATTAGAATAATGTTTCCATAATGTTACTTTACACTGGGGGAACTATGTAAGTGGAAGAAAACCCACTTAGTTTAGCTGCTTAAACTGCTAATTGAAGGCTTTTTGAATTTTTGTACTTGCAAATATTATATTGTCAGTTTTGACTTTTTGGGCAAAAACTTGGCCTTATTTTTTGGGATTGTGCTTTAGGTCTCCAGAGGCCTTGTTTTCTAGCAGCTTTTTGGTACAGGTGTTTGTAATGGATATAAAAGCTGTATTTAATGCAGTCAAGCAGGTGGAGGTTTACTCATATTCTTGGGACAGAAAGCATTTTAGAGAGTGGAGAGGGGTGTGTCTTTTTAGATTTTTTTGCCTTTTGAGGGGAGTAAAAGAACCATTTTTAGGCTCTTACTCCATAAGAGGAAAGGTGTTTTCCTCCAAGTAGTGCAAAGGTATATCGGAAAATGTGAAATGTAAAAAGTTCAGACCAGTTCAGGAGAAGTTATGTGTTCAGCAGATGATTGGTACTTATTGGACAGGTAGCATTTATTTATTTATTCCACAGAAAATTTTCACTTAGTGTTCAGACCTTGGACTAGGCAATAAAGATTTTAACGGTAAACAAGCACTCCTGAACCTTAAAGAGATTAGGAAAGTGGAAACTTCATGTCCTCTGCCCCAGGCCTTAGTATTTAGAGAAGAAAATTTATTGTTAGTGTACAGATTGATGGAGCATACAATAAATTCATTACGGATACCGTTTTTAAAAATATACTTGCATTTTCTTTTCCTATCAAATATTCAGGACAGTACTAGGAACGATGGTGAAGTGCTAACTCAGAATGCCAAAGGGAACAATGGGGGGGAGTGTGCTTAAACCATTTTTGCACAGTCTATACAGCTGAAGATACGGCCACTCTTGCAGAAATATGTTTGTTGCTGAACAGATGTACACTTGAAAGCTAATCTTAATTTGGCCTCAATTTGATTAACAATTTCCCATTAGTTACACAAAGTGCTTAAGGAGAGAAAGCAAACTGGAATCAACCACATCCAGGCCAAGGATTAAAAATAATATGCAAAAATTCATTAAAGTAAGAGTAAAGATTGGGCAGCGGTCTCATGTAGTAGGTTGACCTTGGATTTTGGAGTCAGAGTCCTGTGCTGATAATATGGTTTCTCACTTATGATATTGGGTGACATCCAGAGTTTTGGTTTTCTGACTGGAAATGAAGGTGGTAACCCCTTCCTCTTAATTTTGTTATAAAGATTAAATGAGTTTGGTTAAAGTACCCAGAACAGTGCTTGAGACATAACAATCCTCCCAAATAATCTCTTGCTCCTTTCTGGTTGTGGATTTTAATTATCTGGATTCTTTCTAATCCATATTATTTGCCTATAGCCCCTCACTATTTATTATCTTTGGCCTGTTATAAAATGCATTTGAGAAGACACTAAACAACAAAGGCCCAAGGCTGTCAAATTGTTCAAGTCTGTATCTAAAAGCAGTAATGGTGAACCTTTTAAAGAGGAGTGCCCAGCCTGCAACCCAAAACACACTTTTTGCAGAGTGTCAACACTGCAGTTAAACCTGAATACTGATGTTTTAGTTCAGGAAAAACTCATACATTGACATCTTTTGTCTTAAAAAAAATGCTTCCCATAGGTTTGCCACCACTGCCTTAAAGTATAGGAGAGCCTTTCAGATCCTTAGTCAGAACCTGTTGTCATTTACTTAAATGTTCCTAACAAGCAACGTTTTCTGGTTTTTAAGCCCACAGTAGATTAGAAACAAGTGGATTATGAGTAGTGTGAAAAGTTTAGCATGGGTGTGGTGGGGAGTAGATAGGATGGGGAATTGTTAGCCTACTGCTTACTATAAGAAAAAAGAGATAATCTACAAGACACAGAAATAAATATTCAAATCTTGCCTGGCATGTCTGGGGGCCATTCAGTGCAGGACCAGATCGGGGAAGGCCTACTAATGAGTATTCATCAATTAGCTTAAATCATGTTTGGGAACATTTTTTTAAGAGTTGCTGTAATCTACATAATATACTTTAGATTGTTATTCAGGATGACTGAAATGTTCTTAAAGAGATAGAGCATTGTGCTATAGCAAAAGATTGATTTCATGAAAGATCCCAGTACCTACTATGACTTAAGATGTTTCACATTTGTTTTGCTATTCTGAGACCCCTGATTCCAGACTGAAAAGCCTTTATGCTCATCATTAGTAAAGAAGGGTCACTTTACTGGTACAGCATCCTGTAAGTCATTCTTGTTAGTCTGCAGAAGTGTCCTGTGAAACTTTATATGTAGCCTTTGAGATAGAGTGTGCTAGAGATTTGTAGGACACAGCCAGTGTGGAAAGTTGGCTTGCCTTGCTGCTTCTGTCTGATACTTTGATGCTTCAATTATTTTGTTTTTTTGGATCCTTCTGACTTCAGGGTTACTTTCTAAATTGTCTACTCCATTAAATAATTGTTGGGCACTTTGTAATAGGTAGCTTTGGCTTTTTGAAACAATTTTAGTAGCACAGAAATGATCCATTTTTTTCACATAAAAACCCACACGTTTTGCTTATTGTATAAATTTGATGTATTTAGTTGGAAATTTCAATGCTGATTCTAGATTGACATCTTAAAGATAGCTCTCAGCTTTAATTCAATTTCACATAGGAAGATAAAGTTTGGTCAAGCCAAGTGGATTTAGACTCTGCCCCTAGTTTGGCCAGATAGCTTAGAAATACTAAGATAATTCTATATTTTATCTACTTTCCTTGCACTTCATAAAGTGTGAGTAGTTTTCCTATAGTTCAGTGGGTTTTGCTTAGTTATACCTGAGCCACACTATCAGGATAGGTGATTGGTAATTTAGATATGTTTGTACTCTTAAAAAAACAAATGTTAGCCAACTGTGGTGGCACATGCCTGTAATCCCACCAGAGGAGGCCAAGGTAGGAGGAGATCCTACCTTGGTTCAAGGCTAATCTGAACTACATAGTGAAAACCTGTCTCGCAAACAACCCCCCAAAAGAAATCTTAGTGATTCATTATTCAACTTATTCCTAAATTTTAAAAATCTGTAATTTTTCAAAATCTGGGAACACATTGGCCTTACAGCTGTAACAGAGTGGAAAGTGAGTATAGACTTTTTTCTATTTGTGTTTGAAAACCTGCATTTCTTTGAATAATCTACAGTG